TAAAAGGTGTGCTCTCCCATCTGCTGCTTCGAAGGCAGGAAGACTTTCTATGGAAATAACCAATGAGCAAAGATTTGTGCCAGGACATTTATCTCAGCGGGTCTTTCAAATATCAACAAATGGAAAGCAGAATACTATGTGACTGCATAATGATGGGATCGCAAGATGTTCAGCGAAGTGGAAAAATGTCCAGATATAGGAAGGAAAGTTTATCTGCAGCCTGAGGGGAGAGCCCATTCTATAGAAGTACATGACTGCTTATGGCCACAAATACGTAAAGAAAATCATCTGGAGGGACATGTGCCCAAAAGCTAACAGCGGTGTCATTGTAGGTGATTTTTTTTTTTTTTTGCTTGGCTCATACTTAAGTTTTTTTCTGTGAGAAGCAAACATGACTCATATTAAGAAAAAAGCCGTAAGGCTGGGAAAGCCCAGAAGGGCATTCCTGCAGAGGGAACAGTGTTCAGAGAATCACGAGCGCCTAAGAATAGGGCCTGACTGGAGGAGTGCGGGGGGTGCAGCAAGCGGGGAGAGGGGGCAAGCGCCGAGGGCTCTCGGGAGCCCCAGGCAGGGATGCGGACTTTAACCCGACCAGAGATACACAGCAAGACAGAAGCCATGAACGGGGCTGCAGCCTAGTGGCTCCAGCATGACAGGCCGTTCATGAGGGTGGCGGGCTCATTCCTTCTGATCTCCCGAGGGACATATGGGACCACCGTGGAGAGACCAGACACCAGGGCAGGGCTGCCCAGGAAGGCAGCGGGCAGGACCACTGGGTGCTGCAGTGGCCTCCTTAGCTGGTGTTTGTAGGTGGAACAGCCAACAACCAACCAACACCATATCCCCAACATACGGACCAGGGCCAGGCCAGCCAGAAACAATCCGAGTCTTGAGGGCGGCACATGGGGCAGTCCCTTCCTCCCAGCCATCACCACGCCCCTCCTTCCTCCTGCCACCAGTGCCCAGCCCATGGCTGGCACTCAACCAGGATTTGCTGAATGATGATCTGCACTCTCCTCCTCCCCAGTACCACTCATTCATTCATTCCTTCCTTCACTCTGCAAACACTGACTGGCTATATCTAGGGCTACAGAGACTAACAAAGCTCCTGCCTCCAGGAGCAATACTGATGTGCTGGACCAGAAAGCTCCAGCTCAGTGCCGGGTGGAAACCCCACAGTGCAGGTCGGCCCAGGTGCCATGGGAACCCACAGCGGAGCATCCGACACTTGGGCCAGGGGAGGCCTCCTTAAGCAAACAGGGCCAGGACGTGAATGGTTTGAGGAGGGGAGTGACAGGGACACATGCGGGCTGTCAAACAGGCCCCTCTGCTGCAGTGAGGAGAGTGGTCTTCAGGGAGCACAGGGGGCCAGTTAAGAGGCCAAAATGACGCACGGGCCACAGGCAGTGGTGTCCCGGGCTAGAATGGTGGCTGAGGAGAGAGGGGAAAGGGATGGACTGAAGAAACACCCAGGAGGACGAGAGCCAAGGACACTCCCAGATTTCTGAGCAGAGCTACCAAGTGGATGGTGGTGCCATCGGCTAAGGTGGGGACAACTGGAAACGAGCAGCTGGCTTTAGGGAGACTCAGGTCAGTTTGGAATATACTGCATTTGAGGGGCCAAGGGCATCTGGAGCTCAGGACAGCTTTCTGGTCAAAAAGGAGGTGGTAGACAAAGGGCAGCTGGGAGCCATGGAGTGACTCTGCCCATGCTGAATGTTGGCTTTGGAAGAAGAGGACAATGGCATAACCCTCTGGCATAATCCTCTGAGCATAACCCTCTGGCATAACCGGCTGAGTCAAAGGCTGGGGAAAGGTGCTAAAGACAGACAGCCTCAGGGGCAGTCAGACAGGTGGGAGGAGGTGGTGCTCCTGAAAGCCAATGGGAGAAGATGCTTCTGGAAGGAAGAGACAGGGAACAGGACAGTATGTGGGTGGGAGGCCAACACACACAGCAGTGGCTCTCACTTGGGGAGACTGCCTCCCGGGGGACATGCGGCAATGTAAGGACATTATTGGGTTTCACCACTGGGAAGTCACTGCTGGGACCACATGGGTGGAGGCCAGGATGCTGCTCAACACCTGCAGCGTCCAGCATGGTGTCCAGTCCCGACGTCAGGAGCATGGACGTGGAGGAACTCCAAGCTAGAGGAAGCTGGGAATCTGGAAGGAATTCCTTTCAAGACACTCGAAGCCCAGGAAAAGTGGGCACTTGGAGAGCCTGAGGCTCTTGGGAAGCCGGGAAGGGAAGGGAAGGGAAGGAAGGATTGGAGTTGGAGAGCTGGAAATGCTGTCAGTTCCACTGCGAAGCGGGAGGTGTCATCAGCTGAGGGTGAAGTGGGTGGCTGGAGGCCTGAGGAGGGTAAACACAGGGAAATGGCTCCTGTGGGGCTCCGGGACACCCGTGTTGTAAGATAAGCTAGACCAGGCATCAGATTTGCCGGGGTGCTTGCCTGGCCGGGTGAGAGGCTATCCTGGGGGGCTGGAGAAAGCAGTCGGCTGGGGAGAGGGGTGGTGAGACCTAGGACCACGCCCTGGGCCCTGCCAGCAAAGAGGTTTGCCCACATTGGCGGCAGGCTGAGCAAAGCCAGGTTGCAGCATGTTCTCCATAAAGCTCCAGTCACTTGAAGAGCTGCTAGCAAGAGGCTGGGCCAAGATGAAAGCCCAGGCCCAGCCACTCCACAACTCCTGGTGTGCCAGTTACTGCTGTCCAAAGATAAGACAGAGCCCACCTCTGAACTGAAATAATTTCCAAATTACACTTTTGCAGACTTCACTGATTCTCAAAACCAGTTTTCTCCAGACTGAGCCAAATCTAGGTGTTCCTATTAGCACAGCTCACATTCCTGTGAAAACCACAAGGGAATAGACAAAGAAGTCAGGTTCCAGGAGAACGACTGCAAATTCTGTGGGAATGCTTGCAAAATCTCCAGTGCTCAGGAATATCCAGGAAAATTCCCTTCCACCAGAAAGTCAGAGGAAAAAGGTGAGACTTGTTAGTGGCACAGGAGAATTTTTAAACCCTTCTCTTATTCAGGATGGTCTCCTGGAGCAGGAGAGAGATGCTGGCTTCTAGAACATTCCAACACTGCTTAAGTTTGTATACTGCGTAAAATCCCTATTGAGAAGGCGTTTATTAAATCAGACTCTTGGAGTTGGAAGGAGAGAAGGCTTTTGTATTCAGTGCCCGCATCTGAATTCCCTGTACAGCCGCCAGACAGGCTCTTTGGGAGCCACTGGGGGGTCAGGTGTCTTATGGTTACTGGGGAACTGTTGAAGATAAAGTGCACCGATGGGCACATTAGGTCCAACACATCGCCCTATGTTCATGTATGCTTGAAACGTTTCATAATAGAAACTTTTTTTAACTTTCATTTAATTTTTAAGACAGAGTCTCACTCTGTTGCCCAGACTGAAGTGCAGTGGCGCAATCTCAGCTCACCACAACCTCCGCCTCCCAGGTTCAAGTGATTCTCCTGCCTCAGCCTCCCGAGTAGCTGGGATCACAGGCATGCGCCACCATGCTTGGCTAACTTTTGTATTTTAGTAGAGATGAGGTTTTTCCATGTTGACCAGGCTGGTCTCAAATTCCTGACCTCGGGTGATCTGCCTGCCTTGGCCTCCCAAAGTGCTGAGATTACAGGCATGAGCTACTGTGCCCAGCGTTTAACTTTTAAATTAGTTCTCTCTCTCTTTTTTTTTTTTTTTGAGACGAAGTCTCACTATGTTGCCCACGCTCAAGTGTAGAAGACACTTTAGTACCAAGTGGTACTTAGTAAGATGCAATCTCGGCTCACTGCAACCTCAACCCCCCAGACTCAAGCAATCCTCCTGCCTCAGCCCCCCAAGTAGCCAGGACCACAAATGCAGGCCACCACGCCTAGCTAAGTTTTTGTATTTTTCGTAGAAATGGGGTTTCACCATGTTGCCCAGGCTGGTCTTGAACTCCTGAGCAAGTGATCCTCCCACCTCGACCTCCCAAAGTGCTGGGATTACAGGTGTGAGTCACCATGCCCGGCCTGAAATGAGTTTTCAGTATAGGGAATCACAGTCCCCAAATCCAGGGTAGCAGCCACAGCCCGGAGAGGAATGGCCACTCCTTGGCTTCCTAAAAGCAGGGTGGAGACAGAAAGGAAGGCAGGGGGGTGGTGGCGGGTAGAGGGAGGAGGAGGAAGAGGGGGCACTGGGAGAGGAGGAGGAGGACAGCTCCACACATGGTCTGTCCGTAATTCTCTCCAGAGTCCTTGAAGCCACACTCTCAGAATGGAGGCCACTCTGTAAGGAGGGTCTTCACAGGTGCCAGGCCCTCTGCAAACACCTATGAGGTAGGGACCACCAGAATGTAGGAGCCACAATCTCCACATTCCGGATGGGGACACAGAGGCTTAGAAGTCCCACTGTGAGGGAGTGGAACATCAGGGCTTTCAGCTGCCAGGAACCTGCCCCTCTGAGAGTTCAAGCTCAGCATGGTGCAAAAGTTCAAGTTGATGGCGTTGACAGTAAACAGAGCAGCCCAAACATAATGAAGGGCTGTCCACGAGGTCGTCGGTGTTCTGCTGACCTGGGCCTGACCAAACGTGGGGGTCTGGATAGACAGGGGCGGGCCTGCCTGCACCTGCCCTGGACAGTACACTTGCCGGGGTCCCTTCCACACATCAGACACAATTGACCTGCCCAGGCCAAGCCAGGTCAGGCTGTGGTTCTCTGGCCCCTTCCAGTTCTCAGAATGCCCTGTCTCTGGTTCCTTTCTCTCCTCGCAATGTCTTATTTTGTACACGCTCTCTGTCTTACAATGAATTTTTCCTCTTTTGGGAACTTAAGTCTGATCTTATACAAGAGCAATGGACAAATGGAGTTTGAAATAAAAATGAAACTCCACAGCCATCGTTTCAAGGCTGTAGTCATCCTGCACTGAGGAATGCCAGAGTCACAGGCAGAAGAGACAATGCCCACCGGATGACCACCAATACTAAATTACTAAAACGCCTCCATATGTTTACCTGCTACTTTATCCCGAATGAGTTTTGCAGATTCCACTTCGCCAATGCTGCTGAACAGGCTGCGCAACTCATCCTGGGTCATGTTCTGAGGGAGGTAGTTGACGATCAAATTTGTTCTCCCGATGTCACCCCTGCAGTCTTCGGCCATGTGGTCTTCATAACCATTAGACATTGTATTTTTCAAAAATCTACAAAGGAAAAAAGAGCAAGTAAACTCAAAATGTTCATATTGCAGTATATGAAGGCAAAACTAGAAACTGCATTTGCACTTAAAAATTTTTCTTTCTTTCTGTTTATTTTTGAGACAGAGTCTCACTCCGTCACCCAGGCTGGAGTGCAGTGGCACAATCTCGGCTTACTGCAACCTCTGCATCCCAGGTTCAAGTGATTCTCCTACCTCAGCCTCCTGAGTAGCTGGGATTACAGGCGTCTGCCACAATGCCCAGCTAATTTTTGTATTTTTAGTAGAGATGGGGTTTCGTCGTGTTGGCCAGGCTGGTCTCGAACCCCTGACCTCAGATGATCCATCCGCCTCAGCCTCCCAAAGTGCTGGGATTAGAGGCGTGAGCCCCTGCTTCTGGCCCTACACTTAGAGATTCTTTTCTACACTGCACGTTAACTTACAGCCACATAAAAATCTGCACGTGGAGGTTTACAGCGGCTTCACTCATAATTGCCAAAACCTGGAAGCAACCAGGATCTCCTCCAATGGGTGAATGAATAAACAGACTTCATTCGTGTGGTTCAGCTGTACACAGGCACACTCTTTGATGATAAAAAGAAATGAGCTATTAAGCCAGGTAAGACATTTAAAGGAACTTTAAATGTATATTGTTAAGTGAAGGAACACAGTATACTGTATGATTCCAACTCTATGACCTTCTGGAAAAGGCACACTACAGAGAAAAAGATCAGTGGTTGCCAGGGATGCAGGTCAGGGGTGTGGGGGACAACAAATAGTGGAACACGGGATTGTCAGGGTTTTAGGGCAGTGAAACTATTTTGCATGATACATAATGGTGGATGTGACAATACATGTTTGTCAAAACCCATAGAATGAACAATATACACAGTGAACTCTAATCTGAATTACGGGCTTTAGTTACTAATAATGTGTCAATATTGATTCACTAAGAATAACAGAGGTATCATGTGAATGTGAGATGCTAATAATGGGTGTGGTGGTGCCATCACAGCTCACCGCAGCCTTGAACTCCTGGGAGATCCTTAAGCAATCCTCTCACCTCAGCCTCCTGAGTAGTTGGGAATACAGGTATGCACCACCATGCCCAGCTAATTTTTAACACTTTTTGTAGAGATGGTATCTTGCCCAGGTTAATTTTGAACTCCTGGCCTCAAGTAATCCTTCCGTCTCACCCTCCCAAAGTGCTACGATTATGGGCATGAGCCACTGTGTCCGGCTTCTATTTTAAAAAAATTTTATTCAGTCAATACTTCATTGTAACGCTACGGAACGAGTGTTCTCCACTTCACAATTTTCCTGCAAACCTAAAACTGCTCTAAAAAATAGTCTATGGACACAAAACAGAACAACTCCAAGTTCACTAAGAGGGCTTTGAAGAGACCTATGAACAATTCCAGCACAATTTAAGATCCTGTAAGAAAGCCTTTGGGTTGTCTCTCAAGAGCATTCCAGATTTCCGGTTGCTTTCTCCCCATGTCCAGAGCCTGTGGGGTGTCCCTGAACCCCATCCCTGGACACTCTGCTGCTGAGGGGCGGGCAGGCAATGGTCCTCTGCATCTGTTTATTCCCAAAGATGCAGTGACTGAGCTGGAAGGAGGTGAGGGTTTCTCTACCAGTCAGAGAACTTGGTCTTCACAGTTTGCAGGCTTTGAAAAGTCTTTCTCAGTTGCTGAAGTCTTTCCTTTCAGTGATAAACATGAGAGCCAGTGGTGACTTTGGAGAAGAGTCCAGATCAATGTGGCCAAGCATGCCGAGCCCGCCCTGCTGAAAGTGCGCCACATGCTGGGCTCGCTTCTCAGAGGCCCCTCAATCCCTGCCTCTAAACACGCAGGTAGTCAACCCTGAGGATGGCCACCCGCCTGGAGGTCTCGGTGAGAGCCCACCACTTTCCCCAGATCCCTGTTGCTCAATTCTATGCTATGTTTGAACACCCAGTGCCCACGGTCACGCGCCTTTGGCCTTCTTTAAAAATAGCCTTGCCAGCAGTTACATAAAAATCTGAACACACTTCTCATGTGGAGATTTCCTACCTACTCCCTGAATCAACGCTGAGGGAAGAATTAGGTCTGGTTTCTTTCTTCCTGGTGGAAACATCCAGGTCTTCCCTACCCTCCTACTACTCTCAGACAATGAGCAAAATCAGTACAATTTCCTAGCATTTCTTTTATTTGAGGATGTCCTATGCTCCCCGCTCTTTAAAAAGTAGGTTAGCATCAAAAGCCATAGAAAAAGAGACTGAAAAGTGAGACTCCATGAAATTAAAATCTTCTGTACAGCAAAAGGCATCATAGACCTAGAGGAGGAGGAGTAGCCTGGAGAAAAGATTCACTGCATATTCTATTATTTAGACCCATGGTTTTCACCCCGGGCCATTCTGCCCCCCAGGGGACACTGGGCAATGTCTGGAGACATTTTTGGTTACTGTGACTTGGTCAGGGCCAGGGGTCGGCGGTGGGGGGTGCTACTGACATCTGGTGGGTAGAGGTCAGAGAGCTGTAAAGCATCCTTCAGGGCACAGGACAGCCCCACAACCAAGAATTATCTGACCCCAAATGTTAGTGCTGCCAAGGTTGGGAAAACTTGATTCGGAACATCTACAAATTGGTAAGGGATAAAAGAAGAGATGTACGGCCACTGCACTCCAGCCTCGGCGACAGAGCGAGACTCCTTCTCAAAAAAAAAAAAAAAAAAGAAGAGATGTAACCAAGAGCGAAGTAGGCAAAGGATGTGAGCGGCAATTTATAATAAAGGCCTGAAATTCAAATGGCTCATAAGTCCAGAAAAAGACACTGAACTTCGTCTTCATGAACAATGAGGAAAATGCGAAAGAAAACCAGATGCTACTTTCTGCCAGTCACATGGAATAAAATCCAGCGTAAGATCACCTGCTACTGATCTGAGTATGAGATGGTATAACCTGACTCACAACTGCAGGATCTTTCTACAGAAATAATCACTCAAGTGCAGGAGTTCAAGACCAGTCTGGACAACAACGTGAGACCCTGACTCTAACAAAAAATAAAATAATTTAGTGGGCATGGTGACCCGTGCCCATAGTTTCAGCTACTCGGGAGACAAAGGCAGGGAGGATTGCTCGAGTCCAGGAGATCAAGGCTGCCTGAGCCATGATGGCGCCACTGCACTCCAGCCTGGGCAACAGAGCAAGACCTTGTCTGAAAACAAAATGAAACAAAAGTGCAAGGAAGGCACTAACTTATGGTTCATAAGGGGGGGGTTGTAGCTGCGTGGAGCTTGCTCTGGCGTGCCACTGTAGCTGGGCAGGGAGTGAGAACTGCTTGACTCAAAAAAAAGGTTTCTACTACAATCAATTTTTGCAAATGGTTACTCCAGTTGGGTGGTTTGACTTCTCATTAGCAGTATCTTCCAGAGCAAAGTTTTTAAATTTTGCTAATATCCAGTTTTATCCTTTTTTTTTTTTTAAATGAAGTGGCTTTTGGATTGGTCCTGAGAACTTTGCACGCAATGCACAAAGATTTTTCTCCTAGAAATTATATTTTTACTTTTAAACAGAGTTCCCCCCCCCCGCAGTTTTTTTGTGGTGGTGTAAGAGCCATATGGTAAACTTCTCAGCTTTTTTTCGGCATACGGTCCTGCCACTACTTACATCGTTTATTCGTGGTACACAATTATCTATAGCCAGACATACTAAAAATTATGGACAGGCCGTGTTCCAATAGAAACTTATTATTACAACAGGCACTGGGCCCGATTTGTCCACAGTATGTGTGTGGTTTCAGATAGTCCTGTCCCAGGCGTGGCATCCACACTGTGGGACAGTAAGCTGGGGGCTAGCCCGTTGTTCCTCTTCATCCGTCCATGAAACAGAATGAGGGGCAAAGGAGTATATGTGGTAACTCTCAGGGAAGGGGGGGGAGGAGGGTAAAGAAGAAAAAGGAGGGAATAAAATGGCGTTGAATCACATTTTGACGTGCTTCGTGGTGCATTTATTCTTCGAGTTACCCTTGTGGGCTGTTTGGATCGCTTCCGTCAATGTTTGTCCCTGTTTGTTTGTTTTGAGCGAGATAGTGATGCTATTTTTAAATCCATTGGCCACAGATGGTGTAACGACACGTGTAAGTTTCTCTGATTCGCTCCTGTAGGTCCCCGAGCTGGGTACTGAAGTTGATATATTACCACCTACATTCATATTAAAGATATTTGGACTTCTATCCAGTTTTTACACT